GACGCGCCCGCCCGTGTGGCGGTCACGTGGCGAGGCCGCCTGGGCGTTGGCGCGCGCTGAGTCCGCCCTGCTCGGGGAGCGGATCGGCGCTGCGCTGGGTGCTGGGCTGGGCGGGCGGGAGCCGCCTGTGCCGCCCGCCGCCGAGGCTGCAGCCTGGTCAGGGTCGGCGGCGTCAGGCCGGGTGCTGACGCGGTGGGCACTACCCTCGCTGTGCCGCGGGGAGGCGCTGTGGTGTGCCTGGGTGTGCGTGCGGACGAGCGGGACGAGCGGCTGCCGCTCGCGCTCAGGGGGGGCGGGCTTTGCCTGGGCAGGGCGCTGCGCTGCGGCCACGTTTGGCGGGGGCGTGTGTTGGCGCGGTTGCCTGGCGCGCACGTTCGCCTCGCGCCATCCTTCGGGGCGCCCTGTCCTGCCGCGGCTTGATGCAGCCCCCTGGGCTGAAGCCGCAGGGGGTGCCGCTGCGGACTGGTTGCTGGCGGTGCTGTCGTGGCGGCCTGGGTAATGGCCCCAGGCACGCGTGGACCCTGGCGCGGGCGAGGTGGCCCGCGGGGGAGCCTGCCCGAGTGCGCGCGGGTAGCCGACGACCGCTGGGTGCACCCTGGCGTGGGGGGCGTGGCCGTAGCTGGACGCGGCTGCCCCTGCCGCCGCGGGCCTGGCACCAATGGGGCCGCGGTGGTAGGCGGCGCCTCCGCCGTGCACCGCTCTGTCGCCTGTCGGGGCGCGCGCAGGAGAGCGGTTGCGTGGCGTGCTCGGCTGACCTGCGTCGCGTTGGTCGCGCTGCTGGGTGCGCTGCTGGTGCTGCTGGTAGCGCTGCTGGTCGGCTCTCGAGAGCGGGCGGGTGTCGGGGAGGATGGGCGGCACGTCGGGCCGCCGCAAGCCCTGGTAGACGTGCTCGAAGGCATGGTCTGGGTAAGTCTCCCCGTCAGGTGAGTAGCGCCGTACATGCTCCACAAAGTCAATGTTCTGCGGCTCGGGGAGCACCGTGATGTTCACAGCCCGCTGGTGCGCTGGTCCATAGAGACAGAAGCTACCACGGTTGTTGCGGTCGTGGTTCAACTCGGCTTCGGTCGCGGCACGACTCGCCATGGCGTCACAGAGGCGCATGTCGTAGTCGAGAGCTTGAGGCCCAGGGCCGCCCTCGGCATCCCAGTACAGTACACATCCCGCCAGCGCGTGCGGGTAGTGTGGATGCGCTCGGCGATAGACTCGCAGACGGTCCTGACTGTGACACGATCCCTGTACATGTTGGTGATGGCTAGGGAGTAAGGTCGGCGCACCGCTTTGTTGAAGATGAAATCCTCCTTGAGGGCCTGGTGCGGGCCGAGGAGCACGTAGCCTTCCTTCCACAGCGGTTGGTCGGGAGACGGGTCTTCAGGCATCCCCGTCCCTGTGAACCCTGGTGGCCGCCTCGTGCCGTCGGGCAATCCCTGCTTGGGGACGCGACGCGGCCTCGGTGGTAGATACCATTGGCCCTGGTATCCTGCTTGGCCTGGTTGCGGTGGCTCCCCCCCGGGGCCTGAAGGCGCTCGGGGGGGCTCCATGAGGTCGTGCTGGGCTGGCGCGTTGCCGTATTGGCGGGCGAGGATGTGCGGAGGCATCCCTGTGGCACGGACGTCGAGCAGGCTGTGCGGACGAGGCGGATGCGGGCATCTGCTGGAGAGGCAGCTTGTGTCGGCGGCCCTGTCGTCGGTGCTGTACACGCACGTCCAGCTGTTGCAAGAGTAGTCCGTGGACCAGTCCATAGGTGCACGCAGTCCGCTGAGGGAGCAGTCCGGGCACGTGGGATGGCCCGAGGTGCCGAGCTGCGTGTTGCGGCGGGCAGCACAATACTGGCAGCAGTGGAATCGGCACTGTAGGCAAATCCAGCGTCCTGGTAGGGGCGGGAACGCTTGCTCGTCGGTGACTGCGTCGTCTGGGTGGGGTCGGGGTCGATCCCACAAGGGCCAGACGTCGGCGAACCAGGACTGGCCTGTAGTGCGGACCGCCTCCGCGGGGAGGCGAGCGTCGTCAGCATGGCGCTGGATCCACTGGGGCCCCAGGTCCGCTGCGATCATGACCGTGCGCCAAGTGTCGTCCGCCTTGACGTGGACTTGGGTCGGTGCCCAGAGCCTGGTGGTAGTGTCGCCGTGGTCGTGGTGAAGGATGACCCAGCCATCGCGGCCCGCAACCGCAGGGTCAGTGACGCGGTGGCCCACAACGGTCGTCCCCCACGGTAGGTAGGCGCCATCGTGATGCTCGCCTGGGTCGAGCCAGACCTCGACGCCAGGGGCGTTCACACGGGACCGCACATCGCGGACGTGGAAGGCGAGGACGTGGTAGGCGGTCGGCTCCTCTTCCGTCTCGATGTGCTCCCACGTATCGATGTCGCTGCTGTCAGAGGCGGAGTCTCCGCCGCTCTGCCGTGACGAACGTGAGGCGGAGCGCCGTGAGCGAGCATGGCCTCGGGCGAGGGCGGCGGCCGCGCTCATAAGGGACGGCGTGCGGCGGTCGTCGGCTCCCGATGCCGTCGGTGAGCGGTCTGGACTGTGTCCCGAGGCGGCACCTGGCTGAGAGGTGTGCGATGGGCCAGACGCGGCCCCAGAGCTGGAGCCGCTGGGGCGCGGCGCTCGTACGTCAGACTGCCACCGCTCGGGTGCAGCCTACGCCGTGGCAGTGTACACCAGGTCGATCAGTGGCTGCGGGTCCAGCTGGAGCTTGCGAAGCGAGGCACGCGGACGGGGCTGGTTTGGGTCGGCCCTGGTGGCTGCTTCGGTGTCGTAGTGCTGTGTAGCCCATGCTCGCGCTGCCTCTGGCGAGTATAGTGCCTGTGGCGGTGGCCACGCTGCCACGGTGTCCAGCCGGCGCCAGATCTTCGCCTCCTGGTCGCGGGCTTCAGCCGCCTCGCGGAGGTCTGGGTGATCGAAGCCGGCAATGTGGAGGGCGTGCGTGCAGTCGCCCATGCCACAGGTGTGCGGGAGGGCACGGCACCTGGAGGCAGCTTCGGTGGGGGCACACCAGTCCATGCGGATGAGGAGGCCCAGGACCCGTGGGTAGAAGAGGCGCGCTCCGTGAGCCTCCCCGTTCACGAAGTTGTGCCAGTTCTCACCGCGCGGCGGTTTGGTAGCCTCGCACATCCAGAGCGCGATGGGTCCCCAGGCGAGGGTGTCGTCTTCGAGG